AGATTTAAATTTGGGCTGGTTTCTTTTTAACCAGTATCACTATAAATACCCAGAATGTGTTTTTTCAGAACTCAGACAAAAGTTTAGATCTCTGTGATACGTGAGGATTTTTTCTTACATGTTATGCAGCTGCAAGTTTTACTGGCCATTTTGCTGTATGTTCAGCCAGCTTTCTCCTCTTTCTCTGAAGAATCTCAACATTCCTTTTGTCCCAACTACTGTAAATGAATTATCATTTGTAGACTATTCTTCTGTCTTTCCAAAGAAAATGAAAATATTCAGTGGAACACAAGCACCAGGGAGCCTTGCCTGGTCTTCCCCCATGATTATACCAGGTGTGCCAGGTGTGACTGAGAAGGGGCATTCAGCCTTTCTTGAAGCAGGTGCAGGCTTCACAGGAACAAATCCCTTTCAGTACCTGAAGGGACAAAGATGGAGAGAAATTGTTTACAAATGTAGTATCAGAACAAGGGGAAATGGTTTCACATTGACAGAGAACAGGTTTAGACTGGCTGTTAGGAAGAAATTGTTATCTGTGAGGTGGTGAGGCCCTGGCACAGTTGCCACAGAAGTTGTGGCTGCTCCCATGCCCTTTCCTAAAGATCTTTTGTCCCTTTTCAGTTTGTGAATGGCCTGGTTCTTCCTACAGCCACCAGAGTCATTAACAGTATTGTCTCACCATGCTGCCCTGTTAATTCTGCCAGCCTGCGTGAGTCACAGCAACACCTCCCACAAGCTCTAGCAGCACCTGTGGAAGTCACACACTGTCAGGCTCAACACTGCCTTGTGCCAGCCTAAATTTGCCTTTGTCATAGGCAAACCTGAACTGATGCTACATTTCATGAGGGCAGTGGCTGTTGTTTGAATAAAGCCTGTGTTTTTCTGAAGGAAAGGTGCTCCAGGTCTACATTCCAAGTTCACAGAGCAAAAGTCTGTGCTCACAGAGCCTGTGTGGGAGCAGGAACAGAGGAGAGGCAATGCCACAGAAAGATTGCTCTAATACTGCTGAACATACCAAGGTTGGTCTAATTAAGCCAGAGGTGAAAGTGTTAATCTAGGCCTTGCCATGGCAGCCAAAGGGTGCACTTTAGGCATTTGCCAATATCTGACTCAAAACCAGTAAGTCACAGTCCTGACACAGTGGAAGACACTTGGTGTGGTGCGACTGACTTCATGGGGGTCACAACTGAGCTCAGGACTCAGTTTAGACATTTTGGACAGCACGGTTCAAGTGTAGGATACTGATCTCTGCCAAGAACTTAAAACTGAATGGAGCCACTACAGAATCAGGAAGTTCCTTAGGAAAGTTTGTTAGACTTGTCAGTATTGACACTGGATTTCAGATGTATATTTGCTTCATTACTCTTTTGATAAAACCCCTTAATAAGCAAGTCTTCTCTCCATCTGGTGCTGATCTGACTTAAAATACAGCAAGATTGGCAACTCCTTAATTTATGGACAGGATAAGTATAAAATTTGCATAAATCAGTTAATACTAGAAAGTACAAAACTTGTAGGTTCTTGAAAAAGCAAACTGTGAACCTTTCCTCTTAGGACAGAAACTCTTTGTGAGATGAAGAAGTATCTCACACATTTCTCATGACAAAATATCGAGTAGTGATATTTGGGTTTTTCAGATTCCTTTCCCATTAATTCTTGTTCCAAATATAGAACTATACTTGTCTTGAAACTGGTGACACTTTGTATTCAAGGCAGAATTCCCGCTGTTTAATGATGTGGTTTTATTTTTAAGGCTTTAATCTTACATCAATAATTTTAAGTGCTTTTCAGTGATGCTCTGAGCGAGGAACTACCATCCTTCTTTGTTGTTTTCAGTGCCAGATGACATTTTTATCCAATGATAGGTATCCATTTGCCATGAAGATTGAGTTCCAGGAATGCAATGTACAGATGTGAGGCAATTTTGATCACTGCTCTGTGGAAATTATCATTTTACTAGTTAGTTTACCCTCTGGATTGCAACTCCTGCTTCTGAATTACTAGAAGGAAATCATACTAGCTTTATTATTTTTTTTCTGGAATATTAAAAATCTTGTTTAAAATTAACTACCCTGATCTAGCTTGTAGGAACTGCAAGTTTCCGTCTGTGAGAGTGGCAAAGAGCTCACCTCCCATATGACTGAGGAAACCTTTGCCAGAGAACTCTGGATTGAATCAGGAATGTTTCCATGAAAAATGTACCTTCCAAGCACCTAACAGCCTCCAGAAAAAACAGTTAATGGAGAAAGTCCCTTGCTTTTCTCTATTCCATTTGACAAAAGTGTCCCTGCACCTTCCTTTCCTTGTGTTTGGAGAAGAGTGGGAGGAAGTGCAGAGACCAGCTCCATGTGAATGGAAAGCTGCTCTTTGCAAGTAATTTCCTGACTCTTCTGAGTGATGGCTTTCAGAGAATCCTTAGGGCTGGAAGGGACCTCTGGAGCTCATCCAGTCCAACCCCCCTGCCCAGGCAGGGTCACCCAGAGCAGGTGACACAGGAACACACCCAGGCAGATTGGGAATGTCTCCAGAGGGGGAACTCCAGGCCCTCCCTGGGCAGCTGCTCCAGTCCTCTGCCACCCTCAGTGGAAAGAAATTCTTCCTCATGCTGAGGTGGAACTTCCTGTGTTTAGTTTATGGCCATCGCTCCCTGTCCTGTCATTGAGCACCACTGAGGAGAACCTGGCACCATCCTGTTGACACCCTCTTTGAGATATTTTTATGCCCTTCCCTGACTTTCTGTGCACCTCAGGTGATGAGACAGAGCTGAGAAGTAAGATATGGAAAGGATTCCTCTGGATTCATAGAGTCCGCCTAGAACAACTGCAAAGACAGGTTCAGGACAGGACCTTGCAGCTCAGGACAAACCTTACTCTAAAGAGCTGCCGACAGGTGTTTGATAACAAAAAACTTGTTTAACTCAGTAGTACCAAGGAGCCTCTCTGTTAAACAGAAAGCTTACAGCAGGACACTGCTGCATTAACAAGATTTTTCTCTGGCTGCTCCAATTCCCCTTTAGCTTTCTCTCACTCTCTCTCTCTCTTTTTTTTTTTTTTTTTTTTTTTTTTTTTTTTTTTAATCATCTTTCAAACTACAGCAGCATTTGTTGTCCTGAGGTGTTGATTCCAGTGGAAGAGATTTTAGTGGAAGCTTCTCCTGCAGTGTGCACAGGCTTCATTTCAGGTCAGTAATCACATCCTCCTCAGCCTCTCTTGGGGCTCTCACATTGATCGACCTCCAGCTGGAGGAATTGTCTGAAAGGAAGGGCATGAATGTTGTGTTGAGGTCACATTTCTAGACTGAGGGTGGACTGAGGGAAGCTTCTGCCCTTTGGATTCGGGGGAGACCTGGCATTTGAATGTGATGTGGGTGTGCAAGCTGTCAGCCTTCCAGCTTCATCATGCACATCTGCCCCCCCCCAGGCAGCCAGTTATGCTGGGGAGGGGACAAGAGGAGAGGGCAGTGGGTGGCTTGAGCTGGTGTTTGAGTTCTCAGCAACAAAGTCTGCTGGATGAGGCTGTGTCACCAACAAAAGGCTCATTGACTGTTCTGAGTCATCAGCAGCAGAACATGTGAAGGACTTGAGTTGATGTGAGGGGGTAGGAAGTCTGCCCCAGGAAAAATCTTGAGAACAAAACATCCATAGAAATAAAACATGCTTTATGTTTTCCAGTGTCTCTCCTGGACAGCCAGATGGGAGAAAAAAAAAAAAGAAGAAAAAAGCAGGAGACCAGGGGATCTAAAAGCTTGTGAGAAAGGGCTATTTGATATCCTTTGCTATGTTTTCTTGGGAAAGCTGGAATAACACTATGGATCACAAGTGATCATTCTGCTAAACTGACTCTAGAACCAAGCAGACACCTTCCTACCTTCTCAGCAAAACAGGGCATTACTTTGGCTAGATAGAGTCAATGGTACTGGAGAGCCCATTGCTTCAGTACCTATGTGAGGGGAATCTTCCTAGTGAGTAGAATTCTCACAGCTGAGTTATGATTCCACTTTCCCCAGATAAATGCCTTTTTTTGGTAAATATTTGGTGGACAAGGCTTCTTTGGCACCTTTCAATAAAGTTCATTTTTGAAAGTGGCAGGGCAAAAGAGGAGGAAACATCTAGAGTGAGATTTATCTGTTATTTTCTGGTGTGAATATTTTTTTTTTAAGGGTGCTATGGTGTCCAGTTGCTGCATGAAGTACTCCCTCTAGCCTAGAGAATATTTGCTTGTTCACAACATTCTGTGCTCTTGACTTCTGACTGGTTTGGAAATGCCCTCAGGAAAATGGAGATGGAAGTTAAGAGAGAGGGAAAGGAAGGAATTGGGATTTTCGAGCAGGGGCTGTTACCACTCCATAAGGAGGTAAGAGAAAATAATTATGCTTCCTCTGATCAGCCTCATTTCTGGGAGGAGGTAGAATTTAGGTTCCTAACTGGCCAACTCAGTGTTACTTCTGGATTTAAAGAGAAACCAGAGTCCGGGCACTTGGGGAACAGAATCCACTGGGAAGTGTGAGTGCAGGATTCTATAGCAGGAGACTCTACTGGGGTTTTGATATTCTGCATTTGGGATCACCGTAGCTACATGTGCAATTAGTAAGGATGTCAACATCTGATTCTTCCTGTGACCTGGCCTTCCCATCCCACATCAGGAGCTGTTTGGCCTCAGGAAGCATCAGCCCTGCTTGTGTGGCATTGAGGACCATATCCCTGAAGTGATAACCAAAAAATGTGTAAGGAGCAGCTCTTTTACTCATCTTGAATTACATTCACCTGTCTCTCAAGAGCCCTTTCCCCCCTCACAGGTTGAGCCCTGCACTTTTACTAAAGGCTGGTGCAGTGCCAGCTTTCCATGAGATTGTCTGGAACTGGGACTTGCATCCAGACATGTCACTAAGGCTGTAAAAACAAGGAAGAACTGCAACCCTTACAATTGCTGAAGACAGTTTGCAACAGCCAGAGCAGGTGTGTGATAAACCAGTAAATTCTGCTGCATCTCTGTGTTTTCCAGAGTGACCTGGAGCTCAAGCAGGAGCGGTGTTCTCCAGACAGCTCTCCACGGCTTCCCTAACACACTAGTGAGCCACGAGACCGAGGCAGAAATTCCAGTGTGGGGAGGGTGTGAGTCATGAGATGGTGAGTGAAGGAAACAGCAGGATAAAAATAACAGAGCCCAGTGTGATGCAGAATATTAATCTCCTGCCCTGTGTTATCCTTGCTTGTATTACAGGCAGCACTCTGCTGTAGTGTAGATGCTCTGCTGCTCAAAACAGATCCCTCCGTGCTACTCAGAAAGATTATGGCTCAGGATGCCAGATTGCAGGGACTCCTAATACTCATGCCCTCAAGTTGGCTGAAAATTCTTAATCAAGACATTCCTGCAGTAGAAAATACGTAATCAAAGAGCGTCAAAATGCTACATTTGTATGTTTAATGTTTACATGAAAATGTAAATTTTAGTTCATTAAATGTCAATTTCGGTCAGTTTGACATCAGCTGAAAAAAATTTATCTATTCGAAATTTAAATGAGTGAAGTCCCTTTCATTTTCCAATCTTTTTTTAGCTCTCCTTCTTCCTTCAAAAGGAGAAAAGAAAGGAGAAGAGGATGAAAATACCATGAAAAACCCACATAATACACAAATTTGATTCTAGCTAAGACAAATCAGTAGGGGGAAAAAGGTAGGAAAAGTAGAATTGGTAAAAAAAAAAAAAAAAAAAAAGCACCAAGTATGTTATTTTGAGATGTGAATCTCTCTTTTCTACTCAAATCTGCCATCATATATGATAGGCCTTGTTCCAAGATCACTCACAACAAAATCAGGATCCCTTCTAGGGAGCATTTCCAGCTCAGCCACTGTGAGATTTCTAACCCACTCCCGTAGACATCTCCTCTAATCACCGGGCAGTGATCTTCAGAGAGCTGGTGGGAGTTTAGGAAACCTCTTACTCTGGTATTTTTCAATCCAGCCAGGAATCTGGGCACCATAAAGACAGGAGGAGTTTTCCTTAACTCCAAAGGGTGCCAGCTCTGGCACTGAGGCTTCACTGCAGATTAACACGTGGGGAGCTCTTCTGACAGAAACTGCCTTTGGCATTTCAGGGTAGGGAGAACTGTTTATTCAGTTCTCCCTGAACTCTCTCTCACTGAACACAGATTCACTTCAAAACCTTTCCAAAGGATTTCACTTTGCTGCTTTTTTTTTTGTTTCTTTTTTTTTTTTTATGTACGTCACCTTTGGGCTTAAGTTCACCTTCAAGACTGTGTAAAGCTTTATCAAAACTGGGGAACAGCTTTCTGAGACAGGCAGGAAGGTGGCTGTGTGGTCCCCATGCTGCAGGATTCACAGGGTGAATGACCAGTATTTGTTGGGCTCTCTCTCCTCTTTGCCCTTTCAGGTCTGCTTTATGAAGTGGAGTGTTTGCACACATGGTGAAAGAAGGCACTGTTCAATTGTGCTGGATTTAAGGAGGGGGGTGTGTGTGTAAAATCATGTGGTTCAGGTGTGCAGTTATGGTCACAGTACTCCTTGCTCTCTTTCAGACCCCATTGAAACCAGCTTCTTTCATCCCAGTGAGCTGAAAAATCCCTTTTTTTTCTGCTTCTTTCTTTTCTATTTTGTCTTACAGAGGCTGCCTGGGAAGCTACTTGGGAATAACTTCTCTGGTTTTAAATATTCTTCTTAAGCAATCTCCTGTTATTTTTTACTTTTATATTTCCATGTATTTAACTTATTCCCGTATACCAAGTCTTTTTTATTTTCCAATGCATAAAGAAAGAAAGACTTATTTTGGAAGTTCTACAAAAATGGAAGTCATTGTAATAATGATTTGATGTCCTTGGAACGCACTTTATTTACTATTTGTTTTTATTAGGACATTGTTTGAACGTAACTTTAAGCCCAATAAGGTTCCAGGACTAATCTCCTGGGAGAGGATATTTATGGTCCATATTTTCAGAGAGGGAGATTGGAAGTAGAAAAAGGCTTAAGTATTTAGGCCTTGCTTCAGCTCTGAAGGCAGGGGAAATCTGCAAATGGTCACTTGACCAGCTGAAGGAGAGGGTGGCATGTGCAGATGCACAGCTCCAAGGAGCACTTGCATTCCACGTGTGCTCATTCCAAGCAGAAACATGGGCCTCAGATTGTGTGCATTACTGCAGGCGAACTGACCTATTTTTCTGGAGAGGAAAAATCTACCATAAAAATCTAATTTGCAAGGATTGTGGGAGTGGAAACAGGCCTGTTTGTTTTTGTTTTTGGTTTTTTTTTCTCTAGGATATTTGGTTATGCAAACAAATTGATGAGGGAGAAACTTCCAGCGGGAAAACCACTGATGGTGCTCAGTGTCAGTTAATTGTAACACTCTTGAAAGGAAAGTGAAATAATGGTGAATTTCTCAGAGAATCCGAGAGTCATAGAATGGTCTGGGTTGGAAAGGACCTTAAAGACCCTCTAGTTCCAACTCCCTGCCATGGGAAAGGACACCTTCCACTTTGTTCTAAGCCATAATTTTGTGTCCAGTGTGGAGCCTAATGGTTTTTCCTCCTTAATTAATGCAGCTTTTTGCATGACACTGTCCTGATTACCTTCCTCCTGCAGACACTGACCATTAGGAAGACACTGTTGCAGAGTCTGAAACCAAACCAGCCTATTCCTTGTTCTCAAGTCCTCTTGGGTTAGAAGCTGATGAAAAACTTCCTTCTGGATAAATAACTGTGAGGTCCCCATCATCCCCAGAATTGGATTCCTTCACTGGGATTGCTGAAACAGTGGTCTGCTCCAAGGTTTCTCTCATAGAAGAATTGTTCAGCTTCACAACAGGAGTGAGAAAAGTTTAAATGCTTTGGGGCTCACTCCCAGGCACAAGACTTCATTACTTGAGCTTTTGTTTGGAAATAAATTGAGTTCTTGTCATAGATTGGGCATCTTATCCCATGCTTCTTACATATCAAACTTTCTCATAATTCTGGAAGAAGATTCAAGTGTTTGTTCTTTTTCTTTTATTGGCACTTGTCTTTCTTTATTTTGTATTCTTGAGATGTGCTGCATCTCTGGAGTTTGTATTTCTACTTTTACCATAAAAATGTTGTACATACAGGTCTAGAATGCATCTGAAGATTAGTATAATTTTTCATGTGACTTTGACTTGAACATTTTTCTGTTTATGTTTATATTGCTATTTCAAATATGTGCATTACCTGTATTCTTTATGCCTGTTCCCCATCTGTAACTTAATAAAATAATGTCCCCATTCTTCAGAATCATATCCTATGTGCGTGACAGTGATAACAGTTTCTGAATAATAGTGACTGATAATTTTAAATGTGCTAATCTATATTTATATGTTTCTATATCTGTATCTGTATCTCTATCTGTCTGTCACAGCCTGAAATTCTTCTGATATGGGATTTGAGATGGAGAAAAAATTACCAGGAAGTGGTAAGCTCAGCTCAGGAATAATTCTTCATAAGTCTCTTTGGACTTGAAAGGTAGATTTTCCTGCTCCATAAAGGTTTATGTTCTTTATTTCAGTTCTCATCCATGGCTAAATTTAGAACTGATATCACATGAATCAGTGGAGTGTCACCCATTTCACCAGGAATTTGTGTGAGGACGGTACTTCCCTGTGCAGCTCTTGGAACTGGATGCTGTAGGACCTGGCCCAGTCTTGTGAGAGTCCTTTAGGCAGATTCTCAGCTCACATAAACCAGCCTCATTTCCTGGACATTAGTGAAGCTCTTCTGGTTTTGCTCACTGAACACCTCAGAGTTTACCTGCATTTAAATACAACTTGTTTCTGTGAATCACAAACTTTTTAAAGGAATTTGGTTGGGTTTTTTGTTTTGGTTTTTGGTTTTTTCCTCTCTACTGAGGAAAAGGATACCAGGACCTGGGAGATCTGTGAGCTGATGGAAGACTTAGCCCTTTAACTAGAGAACTTCTTCCTTGTCACGTGGATCTTCCCATTCCTGACTCCCCTGATTTTCTTTTGCTGGATAGATCCAGTGAGATGCTCAGTTGTGTGCTGAGGCATAGTCCTGACTGACATGAACAGATGCACAAATGGACTCAGGCTTTAATGAGGAGATTTCTGAGTCTGGAAACAGGCTTTGATCTTGGAGTGAACTAATCAAAATTCTCAGTCCTCTGAGCATTCATGGACATTAAAGTCCCTCAGAGCAAGGGCATGAAGCCATTCAGTGCCTCTCTTGCTTTGGGGAGATTCAGCTATTCAGCTTTTTTTGGCATTTTCTTTGGAAAAGACATTCAGTGCCAGTAGAAACTTGAGGCCATTGTACAATGCTGTCTTTTTATTACTGTAATATTCCATTGGGTCTCAAAGGTTTAGTGAAGTCAGTGGGAAATTTTCTATCCTTTTCAGTGTGTTGGGAACATGTCCTTGCTGCAAGTAAGACTCCACCAAATACAACTGTTTACAAAGCAAAAAGAGAAGGACATTTCCAGTCCTTGTCTGTTTAATGCCGTATGCCAAGCCTCTGTTTGGGATTTTAAATTGTACAAATTGCAAAATGTCCCATTTAAATAGAACAAAGGCTGAACCAACTCAAGCTGTGGGTTATTTACCACAGGGAACAGGCAATAGGACCTCCAGGGAGAAGCCTGAGCATTGTGAGTGGTGACAGTGGTGATGGGGACAGATGGCTTGTCTGACTCACCTACACCTCCATCACCAAACTGAGTGGAGCTCTGTTTTCTCATGTCCCCCAGAATGACAGCTCCTGATTCCTCTTACATCCTGGAGGCATAGTATACACATCTAGACATCTCCAATCAGAAACAAGATATGTTTCTGTAAACAAACAGCTGGGGCTGGCTTATAATTAAGGTTTCTATTAATAAGGCATCTTCTTTAATTTAGGTGAGCTGCTGCTGCTGTTTTGCCAAAAGCATGTTCATTAATTTCTTTCCAGCTTCTCTGTCATTATTAGAGCATAGGAAGCAAGTCAATGGTTTAATATGCTTGAGTTTCAGACTAGGCTAATCAAATAATTTTTATTCTATTTATCAGCTTTTAATTTGCAATAAAAGATTAAACTTAGATGAAAATATCTTCAACCTGAAAAGAGGATTTTGCTTAGAAGTTGACTGTCCTTAACCAGCACGTAGCTCTGTGCTCAAATTTTGTGCCTGTAGTTACAGGAAAAAAGGTCCAAGGTAAACACAACAGAAGCCTCCTAATGATAAGAAGAGTGATGGACTGAAATCCACTGAGGTGAAGGTGGTGCAAAGACCTGTCTGGGACAGGATTCTTAATCCCAGGATCCAGGTCCATGCCCTTGTGAGCATGTTTGCAGCAAAGGAACCTTGCAGACCATGTGCCTGCCATCAGCCTGATTCGGCTGCCAACACTGCTGAATGCCGAGTTCATTCATTATTATTGCTGGTTTTTCAGGAGGCAAGATGAGCAAAATCAACATCAATCTCCAACAGATGGGACTAGGGGAGGGCAGCTGCAGGCATTCGGTGCACTACATACGGCAGGCGAGCGCACGTGGAATCCTCTGCCCCCGGAGCTCCGGCGTTTCCGTTCCACGGGCAGCAGGAAAATACAATTATCTGAATTAACTGCCCACAAATCCCTGTGCTTTGTGCTGCCCGGGAACACTGAGCACAGAGGTGCCATTCCTCACGTGGCAGCGGTGGAAAAGCACATTCCTGCCTACGTGAGATGAGCAGGGGCATTCCTTCGAGCCTCCTGCCTTTTTTTGGAAGACCTGTCTGGGACAGGATTCTTAATCCCAGGATCCAGGTCCATGCCCTTGTGAGCATGTTTGCAGCAAAGGAACCTTGCAGACCATGTGCCTGCCATCAGCCTGATTCGGCTGCCAACACTGCTGAATGCCGAGTTCATTCATTATTATTGCTGGTTTTTCAGGAGGCAAGATGAGCAAAATCAACATCAATCTCCAACAGATGGGACTAGGGGAGGGCAGCTGCAGGCATTCGGTGCACTACATACGGCAGGCGAGCGCACGTGGAATCCTCTGCCCCCGGAGCTCCGGCGTTTCCGTTCCACGGGCAGCAGGAAAATACAATTATCTGAATTAACTGCCCACAAATCCCTGTGCTTTGTGCTGCCCGGGAACACTGAGCACAGAGGTGCTATTCCTCACGTGGCAGCGGTGGAAAAGCACATTCCTGCCTACGTGAGATGAGCAGGGGCATTCCTGCGAGCCTCCTGCCTTTTTTTGTTTTGTTTTGTTTTGTTTTTTCTTTTGTTCTTGGTAGCTCTTTCTGTTTTGTTTTTACCTTTCAGGCTGGCAAATGAGATTACAGAAAATAAAATGCAGAGGAAACGTGTAAACAAGATTACTAGGGCAAAACAGTGAATGTTTTGTGCCTCTCAGCACATTAACTGCACTGGGGGATGTGAGGCTGGGGCAGGGCTGGGAGCAGTTTTTGCCTGGGTACAGCAGATGCAGGCAGAAAATATTAATTATGTGCTCTGAGAGAACTGCTCTCATCCTGCTCAGAGTGCTGACAAACAGGGTGGGAAAGAAGCATTAAGAGTTCAACTTGTTAGGGGTATTTTTATGATTCTTTTGCCCCAAAACATCATCTTGAAATCATGTTGAATTTCGACAAATTGCAAAGGATCTCAGCTGTCATTTTGCTGTCTCTCATGCCTGGACTTACACACACTTGGCTCTGTGGAGAGGATACGAGAGCTGTCGTAAGATGAGAAATCTGATAACGACCAAAAATATTTTGTGGGTGATAGAGAGGATATACTTTTAGTTGGATTCTTTGCTGCTGGTTTAAAATGCTGGAGGTTGTTGATACAAGCCCTGTCTGCCCAGTCTGTCGTCTGTCTCAAGAGCTGTGAACTCTTACCTTTGAGACTTCTGCATGAGGAAGGGGCCACAGGAGAAATAAAACTAGCTCATGTTAAAAAAAAACAAACAAACAAAAAAAAAACCCAAAAAAACAAACAAACAAAAAACCAAACCACAACAAAATAAACAAACAAAAAAAACCGAAAAAAACCCCCCGTAACCACATCACAACAAATCCTCCACCTTTCTGCTTGCTGGCAGAATCTCTGCTCCCTCCCACGCAGCCCCAGCTGGAGAGCCTTTACTTGCAGCAAAGCCGCTCTGATTGTGACAGTCCCTTTCCACTCACTGCTCCCTTTTCTTGCCCTCCTAGGGAGCAGCAGCTGCCACCACAGCCCCTCCTTTCTGCCTCCAAGGGGCTCCCCACTTATGTAATTTGCAGAAGGCAAAGGAAGAAAATACTGAATTGAGGCTAGATAGGGTCAGGGTGATCTTCCTAGCGGCAGAGATTAGCATGTCCGGTGCTGCAGTGAGCATCCTGCTTCAACTTCAGGTGGAGTCAAGTCTTTCACCCAGGCCCTGAACCTGCCTCACATACAAAGCCAAGGCAGAGGAGCTCTGTGCTCATGTCCTTCTGGGTTTAAAAGTGCCTTTCAGGCCAGAGTTGAACCTGGTATTTGGAGCCAGGCTAAGTTAATGTGTTAGGGAGAATGTGGCTGGGTGGGAGCTTTTTTGCACGTGACTGGCCAAAATATGTCTCTTTGGCAGTGCCAGGATCCGTGCTGCTGCTGAGGGGTCACCTAGGGAGAGTGTCCCCTTATCCCCTCTCTGCCAACCAGGGGAAGGAAGGAATAAGTATTTTGAGCAACCTGGTCTGGTGGAAGGTGTTCCTGCTCAGGCCAGGGGGTTGGAATGAGGTGGTCTTTAAGGTCCCTTCCAACCCAAATCATTCTGTGACCTTATTAAACCATGCTTAATCCTGGCTGAGTCAAGGGCCAGTAGTTCCTGTCCTTAAAAAGCAAAGCTCAAAGCAGCTTTTGGGGTAGAAGGCACAAATTAATTTTCCTCTGCTCGCTCTGGGGTCTGCCCCATTCTTGCCCATCGATGAGATGGATGCCAGTGTGGAAGCTGGGAACAGAGGTGTGGTCCAGTAGCTAATGAGGTGTGAGTGGCTGCTTCCCTTCTTGCTCAGGAAGCACAGCAGAGTGCTCCTTTCTCAGTCACAGGCCATCCTCCAGGGCATCTGAAGAGGGATTCTAACGCTCAGGGAAGAAGTGTCAGAGAGTGAGGAATGAGCACAGCAGCCTTTGGCGACTGAAGGGCCAGCAGCAGCCTTAGTGCAATTTGTGTGTTGGCTAAAGACTGTTTTATAAATGGAGCACAGCTATCATCCCTCAGCTGCTTGGAGGTTACAAACCTCTCTGGAGGATAACCAATCATTTGGATTGGCTTAAAT